GTCTCGGAATATAATACGCAAGAAATAACATATTGTTTCCTTCAACGATATTTAAATCAACCAATTAACAGCTAATATTTGCCTTGATATTGTTAATAACGAAATTCCTTTTACAATGAAAAATAAAAAAAATATATTTTCAACTTCAGATGCATTTAATCGTTAACTTTTCAATATTATCAATAATAAATTAATTTTTAAATGTATAAATTTACAAAGAAGTTATTACGAAAAGGAATTGATCATTTTGTTTTCCATTTTCATTAAACTTGAAAATCAATTCTGTATTTAAATATTTATTTGAAGAATATCGTCTACATTTATAGGTTTTTAGTATGCATTATTATTTTACTTTAAACCATATCGACATTAATATTTTTTAAAATTTTATTTATTCGTTATTGCTGACTGCCTACGAATTAAAGTAAGTGTCTATAAATTGTTGAATATGTGCATTGTTTATCGTTATAATAATTAACAAATATTTGATTTGCATATTATACGTAATAATATTTTTTAAACAAATAACTTTTAATAATGCTTGTTTCTTTAACACATCCTTCAAATTAAAAAATATATAAATTCATAATTACGCTGAACTCTATTTGAGTGGATTAATTCTACTTATGGAGACTGGGGCAGAGATCAAATTGAAATAAAAGATGAAAGATTTTAAACATTGTGTTAAAATTTGCGCGCAGACACACACACACACGCACACACATAATTTCTTGAAAATTGATCGATTGATAAAAAGTGATTATATCTTATTGAAATATGTCTAATTTTATTATTAAAGCTTTTAAAAACATTTTGCTTTAATATATGATCTGAAAGATATAATAATTATAAATGAATTGAATAAAAATCATGAAAATGCATAAAATACTTTTTACTACGCTTTATATTATAAATAATTAATTGCATAAATTTTATTCTTACAATTTTTATACAATTTACATTAAAATATGTAATCTTAGAATATTTTAATTATAATTGAAAATTAAATTAATAATAAATAAATGCTTTATTATTTTAAATATATATATTTATCTATTTCTTATTTAAGTTCTCTTATACAGAGAGGAAGAGAGAGAGAGAGAGAGAGAGAGAGAGTTGATAATAATTTTAATTTTTAAAAAAATAATCAGTTAATTGGCAAGAATAAACTATCTGCTACAGTTTACAAATTACAATTTTTTATTTATGTTCTTACTGATATGTTACTAAAATCTTATTAATTTATATAAAAACGTATACAGTTTACCTATCAGTATAAAATTACAGTAAAAGAGATTTAATTAAAGAAAACAGGAAAATCAAATAAAATCTTTCTTTACAAATGTATACAACAAAGAAAAAGAAAATAGATAAAATTAAATAGGAAGAAATAAGAAACAAGACAAGTAAAAAAATTATAAAAAATATTTATAGGAATATGTGTTAAAAAATAATAGTATTTTAAGGAGAAAAAAAAATAAAGAAAGAAAATTAAATAAAAAGTATTAGATAGAGAAAAAATTAATAAATGCACTGAAAAAGGCGAATTTAATTAATATTTTGATGAAATGTATAGAAATAATGATTAAAAGATAAATTAAACAGATGCAATAAATTGAACTTAACTATTTAAAAATATAAATAAGGTAAAAGGGAAAGTAAAAGCATAGGATATGAAAAATATGGTAAAATAGAAATTAATATCCAATTAAAAACGTGAAGAATGAAATTGTATAAAAAATACAAAAAAAATAATGAAATACATTATAACATATATATATATATATATATATGAATTTTTTGAAAACATTTAAATGATATGAACGCAAATATTATATAATAATAATTAAATAATCATATATTTACTTAGAAAAGCATTGAAAGGCATTTTACGGTATTAATACTGTAATAATTACGTTTTAAATCTAAAAATATAAATAATGAAAATGAAGAATAATTAATTGATAGCTTAGTTAATGATATTTAAGAGTTGAATTAATTTCTTACGAATACATTTAAAATTACTCTAAAATGTAAAAATTTACTGCTAAATAATAATTAATTATTATTGAAAAAGACTTAATATAGTCATTTAATCAAAAAAAAGTTCAGACAAAAAAATATGTAGAAATGTGTATTTAAATATATTATATCTTATATTAAATATTTTATATTTATATGTTTGTTTCTCCTTACGTAATTAAATATAGAACACCACAGAGCACATTTGCAATCGCAAGTCATAATAAGAATTTGTATATATAAAGATTTCAATTGTCCATAAATTGAAAGAATTTGCGATATTTTTGCCTGATATTCAATCGGCGCACTACCAAAAAAATATACGTAATGTGAATATCGAATACTGTCATACGCACTAAAAAATAACATATTAATTCTTTCAATATTTGTATGTAAAAACATAGAGATAAAGCAATGTGTAATTTAATATTCGATATTATTATTGAATTTATTATTTAATATATATGTTAATTATAAATATATTATTAACATTAAACCCATAACGCTGAAAGAAATTGATCTCTATTTTTATCATATTTGATTTTTAGAATCGAAATACTGAAATACAAAATTTATAAGTCAAATATACAAAATGCATTTGCGAAATTTAATTTTTAAATTTAAAATTATTAACTAATATTTATTGAAAATATAAATACGATAAAACCGATCTAAAAAGACAAAGACACTTGTGTGATATCAATCAAGTCAGAGAAACTGAATTCCGAAAAAATTCTAAACTTGCTCATCTTAGTAATAATTTGATACATACCCTACTAAGGAGGCAACACAGATTTGTCCTCCTTACAATTAAGAAATATGGATCAATAGCTGTTTGTTGGAAAAACTACAAACAATGGTAATTTCGAATATTATTTACTTTGGATTACAACAATCAATGGAAGCAGAGACATTTGTAAGAATCACTCGGGCAAGCTTTTGTATACGCCGACTATCGATTGCGTTAGAAATTAAGGCGAAAATATTTTTCTAATAAATGTTTAATAAAATTAATATATTAATAACATATTTTACCGTAATAATATAAACAATAAATAAATTCATTCAAATTGATACCATATATTTGTTGCTATTTAAAACAAATACCTTTGAAAATAAATTCTGGAATAAACAAGAATGCATAAATGCATTTTCATAATAATAATAAATAATTAAATAAATTATATTATAAATTCTAAATCAATTCACTTCTTTTTCAAAATTTGTGAAATAGGATATTAACTAGACACCAGTTTTTTTTAATTATTTAAATATAATTTTCAAATTTTCTAGCAACTATTTTGGATGAAACTTTAGATATAAAAATAAAATAAAAGGATTTTTATTGTCGTTAATATCTTATTTATAAAGCTTTTTGGTAGAAGAATGAATTTTTAGATCAAAACTTATTTTATTTATTAATTTGTCAATATATATTGTAAAATTGTAAATTTTAGAAACAAAATTTTCTAAATTTAAACAGATATTTTTTTGTACAAAATAACACAAATTTAAAAGAAGTGAATCCTTCCGATTCACACATTAACAACAAGCTTTATAATAAGAAAATAAGAAAATATATTACAATGAATATGAACAATATCAACATTTCAAATAAATGAAAACATTTATTTGTAATTTTTAAATTCGTGAAAAGAGTATATTGTTCATGTTAAAAACTCAAGTAAAAATTAATTCTTATAGCAGAAAAAATTCTAATTTATAATGATTTTATGTTTTTTCATTCATACAATATATATAATAATAATATTCTTCCAAATCCTTTAGATTTTAACTACTTTTCTTACTTGAAGATTTGTTATCAATGATGATTAAATTTTCATAAGATATTGTATTAATCTACTCTTATAATCGACCGTGAAACTTTATAAAATATAATAAATACTAAAAAAGATGCAATATAATACATTATTTAACATTAACAACTACTTATTGCTTATTTGTAAAAGAAACCCGATAATAATTTTTTTAATTTTTAGAGAATGAATGAATCTGATCAATGTTTTTCATAACCTTATTCAAATAACAATGTTGCAATATTTTAATAGTATATAACTTTTATTTATTACTTCAATTCATACAGTAATTCTATAATTTTTTTAATTTGAGACAATGTTACCATTTAAATAATTTTAAATTTAATTAATTAATTAATTATAAACTAAACAAGTTGTACGTTGCAGAATGAAAAATAAAATTTTACTATTTCATCAATTAAAATAATAAAAATTTGTTTTTATTAAATAATCATATTTTTAATTTTCTCTTTTACAAAATAAAGTGCATAAAATAAATATTACATTTTTCATTATATCCGAATATACTTGTCATTTCATTTAAAAAATAATAAAAATGAAGTTATTAAAATATTAAAAAAAAATTTTTTTAATCTCTGATCGTTTCACAATTATGGAATTGATGAATTCAAGGCGCTTGTTTTTGCTGTAATAATAAGCAAAAATTAACAAATTTTACAAATTCTATTGGACTTTATCAAAGATAATTTGACATACTATTATAAGGATCAAACACTTCTATTGATTAAAATTATATGCATTAAGATAAAATGTCTGCATTCGTTTTTGACAAAAAAACTGCATTCGTCGTGTTATCGACGTTCTCGCAACTTGTTTATCATAATTACACGGATTATTACTATTAATACTTAAGCAAAAATAGCTTTTATATGTTAAAAGATACATGTGCATATATATATATATATATATATATATATATATATATATACATATGCATACGCATGCTTGCATTTATGTATGCATGTATAGACATTTATAGTTTTAATGATTTTGGAATAGGAAAGGAGACGAATTCATGAACAGACCACAGAAAAGGACAGTCGTATCAGTAAAATATAAATATTATGAAATTAGTGGCATAATATCTAGCCATCTCAATGTTAATGTAAATCGAATACATCGTAAAGGCTCTGTAATTTATTTTTTTTTTTTTTTTTTTTTTTTTTTTTTTTTTTTTTAATACAAACAGCAATTCGAGAACACCGACTGTATATAATAGATACATTTGATTAAATTACACGAGTGACTATATATTATACGATAAAAGTAAAAAGAACAAAACATGAGCTATGAACAAATAGTACACATAGTTTGCTCACGAATAATATAATGACGTCTTATGGAATTATTACTTCGAACATTTGGTGATGTCTCATTTTGCAACTATGTTAATCCGCTTTAATAGCATTAAAACCAACTTTTCAGATTGACTCTATCAGACTTAAATCTTTGATTGAGTTATCAAGCATGTTTCGCATACAGATATTTATAGAAAACTAAATTAATTAAATAATACAGAATTTGGATCCTCATCATCAAGTTGCTTTACATGCCTCAACACATCTTTTTTAGTAATGACTCCGAGCAAACGCCTAAAAATATAAATTAAATTACTATTATTTAGATTGTAAATATTCATCATAATTCATTTGATATTTAATAAGATACTTTTATTAATAGACGACCTTAAAGCCAATAATAATAAAATTAAGTGATTATACATTTTAATTGTAATAGCCTGAATTACATACCCATTATGCGTAACAAGCATTTGTCGTAAGCCTAACTTTCTGAACATATCAACAACAGTCTCCATCGGAGTCTGATCTGTAATAGTAATTGGAGCCATATCCAAGATTTTTTTCAGCTTGAGCGGCGGATGTGTATGTGTCTGTATATTATTACCACTTGTGAAAATTACAAGAGATTGCCTGTTTATACCCTCAAGCATACGTTTTGCATTAGCAAGAGCTAAATTTAAATCTCTTCGTAAAACAAAGCCAACAAGATATTGAGACTCCTTTGAAACTATAACAGGAAAACCATTATGCTCGGTTTCCTTTAAGAGGTTCTCAACATCTTCGACCGTCATTGAATCTTGAGTAAGTACGTGTAAAGTTTCATTGCGCCTTTAAAAAAACAAAAATCTCATTTTTTGACATCTTAAGGATAAAATATTATATTAACATAAAAATACAGGTGCCAATATTTATACAAATTTAGAAAATTTATTCTATTTAATTAAACTTTATTTAAATTATTCAATAAATATCTTTAAAATATTCATTAGTAATATTATAAATAATAATTTGAAGAAAAATAATGTTATAAAATTTTAAATTAAATTAAATGTATTTGCCTTTAAAAACTGCAAGATTTCTAAATGTCAGTGTTACTATAAGACATATTTAGACACAATTACATACTTTCATTATAATATGCAAACAAGAGAACAATACAATATAACAATATACTCACTTTGGTTGCATTACATCAGCTGCTAGAGTAGTATGTTGAAATTCATCTTTACTATCAAGGAAGGGATATCCATTAAGACCAATGTGCGCATCATAAATTCCTTGTTTGCCAAGAGCATCTCCGACCCATTTGCTTGCCATTGCCGCTGCCATTAGTGGTACTATATACCGAACTCCACCTGTCAATTCAAACATTATTACCACAAGAGATACTGTCATGCGAGTGACACCTCCTAAAACCGCTGCTGCTCCAACAATAGCATATAATCCAGGAGTTATACAATCTTCGCCTGTTGAACATTCTTCACTGAACATCCATATGTGAGGATACTGATGAGCAAGTTGCTCCATGCCAATGCCAACTATGCGACCAACTATGGCACCAAGACACAGAGATGGTATAAAAAGACCACAGGGCACCTTCATGCCAAAAGTGAATATGGTCATAATTAATTTAAAAATAAATGCCAATACCAAAAGGTAAACTGAATTAACATCAGCAAAATTTCGTTGATAGTCACTGTGAAACAAAATATTTAAAATTAATTTTTTTAATTTCAACTTTAATTTGTAATATTATTGAAATAACGTTAATCATCCAACCATAACATATCTGTATCAGACACGCCACATTTTCTAAATAGTAAGTAGATGAGTTGGCTGGTACTCATTCTCGTATATGGATTAGGATAAGCAATAACTGCTGTAAGAACAGTTACTACTAATACCTCAGTAACTGGATATTGTCCAAGTTTAGATGATTTACGATATCGACACCAGCGAAGATTAGCTTTGATAAATAATGTTCCAATTATTCCCTACAATTGTTGAAAAAAATCACATTATGTAATTAAATAAAAATATGATACTTTTATATTAGACATGCATACTTACTCCAATAATTCCAAGAATAATAAAAGGAATAAGCTCAAAAAAGATCCAGGGTTTATTATATTCAACGTAAAATAGTACAGAATGTTTATTGCCAAATGGATTTATTGATCGTAATACGAAAGCAGCTACAAGAGCACAGAAGAATGATCGCCATAATGTTTTGAGAGGAAAATAGTAACTGACCTAGAAATTTCAAAATTTCATTAAATTTAATATGAAAAAAATACTATATAATTTTAAAAGATCTGCAACTGTAAATTACTTCTTCTAAGCTAAAAAGTACACCTCCTATAGGTGCTCCAAAAGCCACAGACACTCCAGCTGCAGCTGCAGCTGATAAAATTTCCCTCTTTTTTGCTTCATTTTTGCCATACTTAGGAAATAAATAAGAAAAAATATTGCCAATACAACACGCAATATGTACCATCGGACCTTCTTTTCCAAGACTTAAACCCGCTGATACAGAGAGAATAAGTCCTACAGATTTGATAATTAACGTCCATTTACCCAAATAACCTCGGATAATAAATCCACTTAAAATTGTTTTAATCTTTAATAAAAAATGTTATATTAGATGAAAAATGTTATACTAATTTTATAAGCATTTATAAGACTTAATTTACCTCAGGTATACCAGAGCCGCAAGCGTAAGGAGCAAACATTCGCACTAAAGATGCAGACAATGAGGCAAACAAAAGTGCCCATGCAATATAAAACATATAAGAAATAATATAGGGACCTGCTCCATTTTTTGATTGACTAAATACTTCAGGCCACGTTCTCCACTGTCATTTTAAAATAAAATTAATGACAATTAGTTTAATAAATACTTTCATACCTAAATAAACCTTTTAAAATAATAATAATAATAAAACTAAGTGTATCAGTATATACTAATGCATTTGAACTTCTAGAAAGAATATTTTTAATTTTGTCTGCCTAATGAATATATTTATCAATATTCAAATCAATACTCCACAGTGTTTATTAATTATATTGATCTATTTACCTGTGAACAGTTATCTCCATCAAAAGAAGTTTCATTAGAACTCCAACAGCATTGTTCCTTATTTAACCAAAATGCTTGTGGGCAAATTCCAAATTTGAGATCAGTCATCCACGATGCTCCTATATCAATAACACCAGCCGCTACTCCAGTAAATAGACCAACAAATAATACGCAAAGCCATCCTGACCAAGCGTCATGGGCTCCCTTGATTAAATCCCAAATAGAATCGTGTTTTTTTTTCAGTATATATCGGTGGTGCATACGATCTCTGGCAATATCTCTTTGCCAGTCGATAGTATGGAAATCATCATATTGGCCAATACCAGGAATATCATCAGAATCAGCCGAGACTATATGAAGAAACAAACAATTTAACGTGATCAATAACATGGACAAAATTGAAGGTATTAAATTTTTTCGAAGTAAACTTGAATTCCAAATTAAATTAGCCTCCAGCAATAAGTATTGTAATAAGTACGAAAAATAAAATGCT